TGTGCGACATATATGCAAAGTGTATGTATAATATATATGTGAAATGCCTGTGTGCACATTAGTGTATATATGCATGTGTGTGTGTCTACGTGTATATAAAGATCTTACTGTTTCCAAGCTAACTGCTTCCAGATGAAACATACATGCCTGAAACAATGTGATCACCAGGCTATGAGCAGAAGTAAATTCAGTGAACAGGAAAGCCTTTGCAGCTGAGATAGTAGAGATGGCTTTCTGGGGAGCCCCCAGATTGTATGGGATGATTGAGAGTTAGACTGAACAAAGGCTGTGGGCAGCAGGCCTGGGCTGGCCAAGCATGCCCTATCAGAGAGAGCCAAAGCACAGTCTGGCTCGGGGATAAGAGAGCCACGGGACAAAGAAATGAGCGGCTATCTGTTGCTCCTCCAAAGGAGCAAACAGAACCAACACTTTCTAGCTGTGTCCTGTAAGACTCTTCAGAAACTTTTGCAGCTGAATATAGGCTTCCAGGAGCAGGTACAGAGGAGAAACAAGACGTAGCCCACCGGCCACTCAACAAGACTCTCTTTGTTCTCTGCCAGTGGCCTTGTTGACTTCCAGTTTCCTCAAACACGGTAGACGGGAAGGCAAGTGGCCTGCGGTGTGTGAACACCATGGACTCTGGATTTGGGTTAGGAATCATTAGGCTGGTTTACTAGGTGGCCGCAAAGACTACATGATTCCTATGGCCTCCAGATGTCCTTGTATAGAAGGAAAAACCACAAGGTGCCCCCAGACATCTCCCATGCATGCTGAAGAGGGCCGCTGAGTGCAGGCACCAAGCAACAGCCCTGCAAGCACCAGGCCGAGTTCAAGCAACGAGAGAGCTTCCACTCTCTCCTTCTTTGCAGCCATGCCCAGCACCCTGTCTAGAAACCTGCATTCCCCTGACAAGTCCATGGTCCTTGTGTGACAGTGCCCACCATCCTTGCGACCAGTGTTATCCAGTGGGTCCTATTTTACCTGAAAATCCTCCTTAAATGCAGCATCATAAGAAGCTAATCTTTCCAATTTTATGGAGGATTATGTGTTGTTCTCTATAACAGAAGATAAAGGTAACACCACTGGAGGCTGGACCAAAAATAGGGGGATTAAAATTAAAAAAAAAAGAAAAAACTGCTTTAAAATGTGGCAGGCTGTTCACTAGGGGAACTAACATCCCTTCTGAATGCCTTTGAAAGATCGTTGTGTGTAATTCTGAATATATAAAATCCTCCTTTTAGGAGACACAAACCCTGCAGAGCAGTTCTTATTTAATTGCATTCCAGGCTCCTGAATTTCTGTTTCCTCCAGTCTATGAGTTCAGCTTGCAGCAACCCCTTTCCTCTGGTTTCCACTTAGCAGACCCCCTACCTTCCTCTGGTCCTACCAGCATCCACAGACAAACAGGACGCAGCCTGGGGACTGGGTGACAGGGAAAAGATTCAGCCAGCTCCTTCCAGCTGCAGGCAAGAGTCACAACAAAGAAGTAACTCATGACAACTGACAAAAACGCAGAGGTGACAGAATCTGGGGGACTTGAATGAGATCAGTGTGGAATCCAGGTCCTCTGGGGACCCCACAAGTGTGCTCAAGGCAGATGAGCTGAATTCACACTGCAAAGGACCAAAGGCTCCAGGGAATCTCATTTTACAAAGTGTCCCCACTTTAACCAGCACTGAAGACGTGGCACACCTCTTCCCCATCACCAACACTTACCTAGCCACTTTCCTCTAGAGTTTCCTTTGCAGGGCAGTCAGTCAGTCAGTCAGTCAGTCAGTCTCTCTCTCTCTCTCTCTCTCTCTCTCTCTCTCTCTCTCTCTCTCTCTGGTTTTTCGAGACAGGGTTTCTCTGTGTAGCTTTGCACCTTTCCTGGATCTCGCTCTGTAGACCAGGCTGGCCTCTAACTCACAAAGATCTGCCTGGCTCTGCCTCCCGAGTGCTGGGATTAAAGGCGTGCACCACCACCTCTCGGCCAGTCTCTCTTAATGTCTACAATTTTTAAGTTTCTGACCTTTAGCAAATATTTGACATTTCTCAATGATAAATTAATCCCAAAGCTTAGAATTCACTCTTGTAAGCATTCCCTAGTAGTCTGGGGATTCAAAATAGTAAAGGGGTTTTCTCTCATGTTACACACACCTTACTAATTTTCCAAAAACCTAAAAATCGATGGACTACCTCTTGAGAACATGCTCTCTCATTCTTCCTCTCCATCAGCACCCCCCCCCATCCTCCATCTTCAGAAAAAGTAGGACTGGGAAAGTATGCAACTAAACTTTGCTAGTGCCTTCAAGATCAAGGACCTGGGGGCCCTTAACAGCGAGACAGATGAGAGGCCACGTGGAGAGTGCAGACACTAAGCCCAGGTCTCCTGAAATGTACTGCTGGGGCGGGTGAGGCGTGGAGACAACTGGCTAACACAGCCCACGTTTCGGGCAACAGTCCTGACCGAGAAGAGGTGGCACAGGAGCCTCCTGTTTCTTTAATCTGCACGGTCTCCAAACCACTTTGTCTTCTGCAAAATGGGCGAAAGAACGTCACCACCACAGAAATGAGATCCCCCAGCACCCCACCCCAAATTCAAATCAGTGCACAGAACATCAGAGCTCTGAAGATTTTAGCCTCCCGCCTTTGAAATCTCCTCTTCAATAGGAATGATTCATGAGCTAAACCTATTCTGCAGCAGCCGACTCACTGCCCTTCCCAGGAGGGATTCATAAATGAAAAAAAAAAAAAACAACCTTAGCTTGAAGGATTAAGGATTCATCCTACCCTGCTGGTTGTAAGCTGAATTCCCCATATTCATTCGGTGCTGTTTCACAGAATAACCATTCTCGCCTCTCCTCACCTGCCAGGTAGGCCTAGCCTTTGGATAAATTATCCAGCACCAGAGGCCTTGGGGGTCCCTGGTAAAAACCAGGAAAGCAGGCAATAAAGGATCCCTGTTTGGAAGACAGCCTGAAGAACCAAGCTGTGTGGTCAAAGCAGGGGGGCCATCGCTTCCAGTCCTTGCACAGGCCGGGTGTGCACCTTTCCGACTTGTGCACCTTTCCAAAGAAGGCAGACACCAGTTCACATCAGAAGGTGCACATCAGTCCATCTTCACTGTGGTTGTGGGCCTCCGTGTGTATGGAGACTCCAGGCCCATACACACGGGGTGGACAGAGCCACCACTGGTGCTGTTTTAACAAAGACTGTATGTGGCCTCTTCTCGGTGATAACCACCTACATGTTAAGAAGACAGACAAGGGCTAGGAGCATAGCTCAGTGGCAAAGCATTTGCGTAGGATGCATAAGGCCCCGAGTTCAAGCCCAAGCAATGGAAATAAAGAAAACAGAAAAGACCACAAAGATGAACAAGGCAATGGAGATTCCTGCTCTAGGAAAATGCAGCTTTTGCTATCCTAAATTCATCCAGTGCTACAAATCTTCAGTGTTCAATCTAAGAAAATGGAAAGACCAGAATTGTGAAAAAATTAGAATTGTGTATACTTATCTCACTTTAAAGACTGCCAGCAATTATATATATATTTAGAGAGAGACAGACAGATAGACAGACATACAGACAGACAGACGGACATCATGCAAGTCAGATAAAAGCATGTCTGTAGGCTAAATGTGGTTTATTAATTTATTTATTTCGAGACAGTTTCTCTGTATAACAGTCCTGGCTGTCTTGGAACTCACAGAGATCCACCTGTCTCTGCCTCCCAAGTGCTGAGATTAAAGGCATGCGCCACCACTACCTGGCTACTCACTGCTACTTAAACTCCCCAACCTAACCGTCTCTGCTGTCACATGCACCTCAAGCTTTGCTGAAAGCACCAGCCACCTAAGACACCGACAGCGCGAACTTACCTCCATGGTATGGGTTTTTCCTGATGAAGTCTGCCCATATGCAAAAATTGTCCCATTATAACCCTCAAGGACATCTGCAAACATAAAATAGATTCAAATTAATTCATTACTTTGATCCTACACTGATATTGGCTGCATGCGTCAAAGTTAGTTTCCAAATGGCCCATCTCATTCTTACACAAATGACATGTGCCAACTGCTTGTGTGTGACTGTGAAATAAGCACAGAAATGAGTCTGTTGTCCCACAAATAAAAAGAAAGGGACTCCCATTTCTACAGACTGCATGACTGAAGGGCTAGTGCCATTTTTAGCTACTTGAAGCTCTCGTCTGCATGTGGGTCTCTTGAGATCATTGAGGAGGAAAAGCAAGCTTTGCCTGAAGCACTGGTCTGGGTCAGCTTAAATCTGGATCCTTCGGGCCATTTCCCATGAAGGTCCCACCAGAGTCCCATCAGAACAGACTAGAGCTGGGGTGGGGGGGGGGAGGCACCCCACTGCAAACTGAGCCCCACAGACAATCCAATCAGCCCGGAAACCAGCAGGCCTGACTTAAACTTAATGCCTCTTTTTTTCACTGTCTTGCTACCAAGACGGCCTGGGCCCCGCAACATCAGGAATTTTTCTTAATTGCACAATAAGCACACTGTGAAAGCCCACAGGCATGGCAGGCTGGCTTCCGTTTCACACAGGGACGAGAGGAGGTGTGCAGGTGGGGGCGGCTTTACGTTGTGGAGCTGAAGATCATCTGTGGGAATTCTTTCAAAGCAGCAGAGGTGATTAAAACATATTCCCTCCTGCCTTCCCCTCATCCATACAACCATCACAGAAAGGGAAACAATTCATAATTAATATCCTTGACCCACCATTCTGCACCAAGAGGAATTCTTAATGTGGCTGATGGGGAGAGCAAGGAGGGGAGCCCTAGATAGAGGATGCTACTGGAGCCATGGAGAAAAGTGTACCAGCCAATCAACTCCACCTCTTTCAGATTAGGATGGTCCCGTCTCTGAATTTTATTATGCTGGGTTTCTTTTGTTTTTTGTTTGTTTTGCTTGCTAGAGTTTTTTTTATATATAAAGCATACATATTTTACTAGTCTGAGATTGTTAGAGTATAACTTAGGACCAGAGAAGAAAGGATTTTCCTGCAGGGAGTTAAAAACAGGAAATAAAAATAAGTAAGATTTAAAAAAATAATAATAATAATCCTAGCAGCCCTTAAGGGTTTGCATCATGGGGTGAACTAGCCAAGGTATTGCTGGAGAGCTCACGTGGGTGGTGAGGAGGAGGAAAAGCTGGCAGGCTGACCAACCCAGGCCCAGAACCAGGGCTGGGAGTTGGCCCACCCCAGCATCCACCTCATCTATGAACTGCTGGAGCATGCGAAGGAGCTGGACCTGCAGATTCAAAGCTACAGGATCTCCATGGCACACGGCAACAACAGGATCTCCAAGAGGAGTCCCAGTGAGGGTCCAGGATCAAGGGTGTAGCAGAAGCCAGAGGCCTCAAACCGGAGTCATTGCAAGGAACACTTACAGGTAAAGATGGATGGACTAAAGGGTGTACTGTGTGACTTGCTGGGCCATACTACAGCTTCTATGCCAATTTTTTTTTTTTTTACTTGTTTGTTTGGTTGGTTTGGGTTGGGTTGGGTTTTTGTTGTTTCTTTTTGTTTTTTGAGTTTTTTGTTGTTGTTGTTTTGTGGGGGGAGATTGCAAGGGCAGAGGGAGGAATTGAGGGTATGGGGAGATGAGTGGGATTGGGATGCACGAGGTGAAATCCATAAAGAATCAATAAAAGTGTTTTTTTAAAGGAGTTTGCATAAAGCTGGGGGTGGGGAATGCTCACATATATCAGTCTTTGGGAAACGGTTTTTGAGAGTGGTTTCCCTGGTAACAGCAGGAAGCAGGAAAAAAGGAGAAACTGAAGAAGTCGGTGTTAGGGTTAGAGGCTTTAAGCTTCAGTTTCCATGAAAATGTCAACTCTCAGAGAGAAGATTGCTCGGGGCTGGAGACAGCACCAGGGCAGTGTGCCTCCACACTACCACAAAAATGTCCTTTGAGGGACCCAAAGAAAGAGGTTCCATCCTTCAGCTGTGATTTTACAATTCAGTCCTCATGACACAAACAACTGCAGACAACTGGAATGCCAAGTGCTGTCACTGTCACAGCAGAAAACCGTCCTTTATTAGAAATTAAACATCTCTCCTCAAACTGAAGGGCCTTTCTTACTTTATCTTCCTGTGGATACAGGGCTTCCGACTCACTAGTCTGGAGCCAACATCCATCCGGCTCCTGACCTAGCGCCTGTCCTTCTCAAGTGTGGCACCCCGCTCTCTGGAGTAACTGGATGCAGGGGCTCTGGGGTGGCTCTGGACAACCTGTGCCACGCTAAAGGAAACTGATTTCGGAGCCTAAATCCAGCCCACACCTCTTCCCTGGCCGGACAGAAGGAAGCTGGTATCTCCACGAGGCCTCAGGCCACTCTCGCCAAGCATAATGCACAGTTTCACCAACTAGCTTCTTTTCCCTGTTCTCCTGTGGTTGCGGACTGGGTCATATCTATGAAAAGGACAGCAGCAAGTCTCAGGTGGATTGGCTCAGCTAGCTCTTCTCTAGTGGGCACAAAAACACTGGCTTCAGTCCTCAGCATGCCACCCACGATCCGAGGAGAGATGGCACATCCCTGTGATCCCAGCTCTGAAGAAATGGAAGCAAAAGGATCAGATCTTCAAGGTAATCCTTAGCTCCATGAGGTCTTAAGGATAGCCTGAGCTAAATGAGAGCCCAATCAGTCCCAGAGACTGAAGTGGCAGTCACAGAGCTTGGCCTGCACGGGTCTGTGCTAGGTCCTCTGCATACGTGCTATGGTTGTGTAGCCTGGGGTGTCTGTGGGACTCCTGAAGTGGGAGTGGGAGGTATCTCTGACTCTTTCCCCTGCTCTTGGGATCCTTTTCCTCCTACTGGTTTGTCTTGTCCAGCATTGATATGAGGGTAGGTGCCTAGTCTTACATCTTCTCATGCCGTGTTCAGTTGATATCCTTGGGAGGCCTGCTCTTCTCTGAAGGGAAAGAGAAGAGGAGTGGATCTAGGGGAGAGGGGAAGTGTGTGTGTGGGGGGGGGGGTGGACTGGAAAGAGCAGAGGAAGGGGAAGCTGCAGTCTGGATGTGTTGTATGAGAGAGGAATAAATTATAGAAAAAAGGGGGGCATCTAACTCTTACAACCTGGGACCAGGGAGATATATATAGAGATAGATATAGATAAATTACATATGTATGTATATGTGTGTGTGCATGCAAGCGTGTGTGTATGTATGCATGCATGTATATATACATCTATACTAAAAAAAATCCTCATTTGTAGTTCCTATTGTAATAGAGTTGAATTAAAACCAATGACTTCCTTTAATAAAAAAGTGGCAGCAGCAGAGGGAAAAAAGGGAGGAACATGCCTGAGTGGCATTGGCTTATTTGGGGCTGGGTTGCTAAGAGGCATGTGGAACTGGACTCGGAGAACATCCATTCTCTTTATTATGTCAACACTGAGCACAATTTCCTTATTTTTTTTTAATAGCGAACATATAAGCCCACTAAAACAAACTCTGATTGGCCTTTAAAGAGAATCATCGTACAACTAATACATTTTTGGGAGATCATCTCCCGCATCACAATTGAAAGCAGCTGATGTTGCCCTCTATCGACTCAATTCTGAACTAAAAGATAATTTCAAAAGATAAAAAGGTCCTTTTAACGGAGGGATGTCTATTTTCTCAGGTTTGAGAGGATGTGTTTGTGTATTCAATCTCTGTTTTACGGTTAGTGAGGGTCCTGGCAAGAGAAAGCCATGGGTGAACAATGCAGTTCAGGATCTGAAGGGGAGCCAGCACAGAATCCGCTGAGGGAAGATCTGAGCACTGGCTTGTGCTGGGCTCTGTGCAGAACCACATGCCACCTCCTGGGCCACACTGTAGCCCCCAACCAAAAGGCCCACAAAAAGACACTTTCATCGCAGTAAATGGCAAACAGTTCCTGGGCCTGAGAAACACATTTGTTTTCATTTCTGCCTGGCAGAATGGCTATTTCCACACCCTGGTGATGCTCTTCCAGACAGAACCATTCTTTGTGATGGTGTCTGGCATGATGTGAGCTGAGAAACTCACACCACAGAGCCCCACACCTCACAGACCAGCGTGTGTCCATCCAGCAGCCAGGCAAACCCAGAAGCTTCTACAGCAGGTGACAAGTGCCATCATACTTCCCAAAGAGCAGGGGAGATCACAGCTCCTCAGAAACACTGGACAGCTCCAGCTCCAGATGTTTGAAGACCAAGCGTGCACTCTAGGTTTTGCTCATGTCTGAATCCAGGTATGGCTGGGGCAGAAGTGAGTCCTTTGTTAAGTAAGAACCCGGGGACCATTCATCAAACCTACACATCAGTGTTCCCTCTGCCTCGCCTACGAGACCTCTCCAGGTGAAATGGTGGCATTTCTGGGGCACTGAAGTTTCTGATAACAGCTGCAGGCTGCTCGGTTTGGGAATCCTAAGATTCTTATCAGCCAACCAAACATCTCAAGCTGGCCATGACTGTAGAGTGACATCCAAGCTCCATACAGCAGTGGCCACAAAAAGAAGCTTGCATCTCAGGAAATGGCAGATAGTTCCTGGGCCTGAGAAAAACATTTGCTTTCATCTCTGTTGAGCAGAATGACTATTTCCACACCCTGGTGATGCTCTGTGTGAAGGACGCTGCATTTCAGAATGGAAATGCACTCTCCAACTGGCCAGCACAAGGCCACGGGACCACAACGGCTATTTTTTTCTCCTCTATTGTCCTCCCACCCCCATTCCTATCCCCATCATTTTGGACTGTTAGTTAATAGTCCATATGGCCTGATTGAAAAAGAACAACTCATAAAATAACTACTTGGTGATTGCGTGTGTTTAAATGCTCTTTGTGGACTCATCAGAAAGGAAAGGCAAGATAATTCAGAGCACCGTAAGTTGCGAACAAAGTCCCAGACCCACTCCATCTTCTAGATCTGGCTGAAGTGCTTTCGCCTCTGAGCATCAAATTCCACTTCAATATGTTGAGAATAGTAATGCTCACACTTCATGAACTGAAGCTTTTAGATGCAACATGTAAAGCGATGAAGAACAAACCATACAGAGCTAAGTGTAATTCGTTAGGAGTCACATAGAATAATGAAATAGATCTGAGTATATCTTCCAAAGCCTAAAGCTTTCCAGTCTGCCCACACTGACTACAGCATAAAGTCCAGCATGTCCACCAGAGGATCCGGACTGACTCTTGCAACCTCATTTCCCATCCTGCACTCATCGCCTTACACCACGCCCTCTGGACTACTCAAGCATGCCACACTGTTTGTATCTTTATGCTCTTGCAGTTCCCTCTGCTACTACAGCTCCCCTATAATCTCTAGTCCTCAGGGCTAAATCTTTCCAAGAAGCTTTGATTCTCCACACTCACCAAAATCATCACAAAATGGCACTCCTCTGTGTTGTCCTAGCATTGTGCACACACTCATCTTAACCTACATAATGCCTGTATAAAGTAAATAATAATGGTATATGCATTTGCCTCTCCCTCTATATTGAGAACTTATAGCAGACCGTCTTATATGTTTTAGTGACTCCAGTCTCTGGAGTGCTTATCACACAGTAAACACTTAATACTACCTGTATAAATAAATAATGTAATTTTAAGGAATCAAAACTGGAAAATCAAAAACCACCTTCTCTAGCATTTGTTTAGTCCATATTTAGTTTATTTGGAAGGCAAATGCCCAGAGCAGCTTCTGCTAGCTAGGATACAGTTACCAGGATCTCAATAATAATATCCAGTAACCACAGTGTTTAATGCCTAGACACCCACAGAAGCCTTATCAGCTGTGATTACAGTCACAAACCTTACAACCTCTTCCCACAGAAATGGGGAAATCCCCATGCTCTGCCAGCCAACATCTTGAAAAACCCACCAAAGATGGGAATGTGGGAAATGTCAGGACTCTGCAATTGCAAATAGATCCTCAGAGTCATGAAGGGTTTAGGTAGACTAGGAAGTAGAGGTCACCAGCCCATGACAGCATCATGAATCAGGAGACGGTGATGATCTTCAGAATCATTTGATTCCCATCTCAGTCTCTAGAGAAGATGTCCATTGTACCCTGTCCCAGCCCTAACTCAGGTAGCACTCTTATGACAATAGTGTCCAGCTATGCTCCATTATGTACCCCAAGAAGGTCTTGCTTATATTTATGCTTTACCTTGATGGTGCAGAAAGGAAATCATTTCCTCTCACCATAGCCTTGGAGGTTGAACTTTAAAAGTTCAATCAGTATCTGTAGAGCTCAGGAAGAGAAAAGGGCCCGTGAACAGGAGATGTGAAGAGGTCTTAAGAGGAAGAGTAGACAGCAGAAAACATAATATGAGGGAGAGAGGATCCAGGGATTTAAGGTTTTAAATGGGTACAGAGATAAAAAATGAACAGAGAGAAGCTGGGCAGGGTGAGCTAACCAAAGCTAAGGATGTGCAAAGAACCTCTATGGAAACCCACTACTTTGGGAGTTCATTTAAAAAAAGAAATTGCATGCATGCACACGCACATGCACAAGGAGTTTGAATACAGATGCCCTGCATGAATGGACAGAGATCCCCTCTAGAGGGCATAAGTTATTAAATGAAATCACAGTACCAAGCATGGGACATCTCACTACAAGGTATTGGTCAGGGAGGCCCCAGAGGCCCCCAAACAATACAGCTTTGCCGTTGTTCTTGTTTATGCAACACAACTAGATGATACGACCTTAGTGCTGAAACACCAGCATGTTGGTTGAACAACAGCGAGAAATCAGCTGGAACTGACCTGGAAGTGTCCTCCCTGCTGGCCAGGTTAACAGTACCAGAAGGTGCGATGCAGGCCACTGGGGGAGAAAAGATGTCAGCGGTACGCCTGCAGCCAGCCCTCCATGCTACAACACCAACCTGACAGGCAAGACTCAATGTAGCAGGGACATGAAGGTGTTAGGGTAACCAGCTGGTTTCGGCTTGGATTTGAGGCCTACTTCACAGGAAGGAAGTTAGGCCTGACACTTTAAACCTGGCTTTGCCCAGGAGGTCACAGGCCCTAGGAGGAATATAGTATTGTTGTTCTGCTAAATAGTCATACAGTCAAACTGCCTTGTAAGTATCTATGCCTCTACCTACCGATGGTGCTGCCCTCAGTCTTGGCTTCTCCCTGCAGCAGTCATGGCTAAAGGAGAGACTCGGAGCTGATCAAAGTACTGAGAACAAGTGTCTCTTCAAGCAAGTGCTCAGCCTTCAACAGATATCTAACTCCCACATCCCCCAAGGCTCAGAAAACACCCTGGAGAGGCACAGAGAATTAGAGAGGGTGGAGTGGTGAAACGCTGTCTTCAGAACATGACAGACATGGCCACTGTACCCATAAAGTCACTGCAGTTATGAGATGCGTCAACGTTCCAATAAGCATCACCAATTGGACTCAGTGTCCAAAAAAGGTGGTGGTGGGGGGGCATAAAGTAGTGAGGGAGACATGTTGGAGGTACATGGGGTGGATGGGAGGAAGGGATGAGTTAGGGGTGTCTCGAAAACTGGGAGCCAGGAATTGAGGGTTCCTCCGGAGAGTGGAGGCAAGGAGTTAGGGGTACAAATAATCAAGATGCATTGTTACATGTATGAAAAGAGTAAATAAAAGA